AATTTTCTGTGAATTTCCTTGTAGGGCTCTTTTAACTTCTTGCTTACATAATTTCCAAGTTTATCTCTTTTTGAGATTGTTGTGAATGGAATGGTTTTCTAAATTTCTTTGCCTGCTGAATTAACTGTGTAGGCAATCTATTGGTTTATATGTGTTGTTGACCTTGTATCTTGCTACTTTGATAAACTAATTTATAATCTCTAGAATTATTCTGGTGCAGTTTTTCATTTTGTGAGCATGATAATATTATCAGCAATTACAGATAGTTGGCCTTCTCTTTTTTGCTTTTTGTATCTTTGATTTCCTTTTCTTGTTTAATCACTTTGGCTAATGTTTCAAGGCCTTTATGTAATAGATGGTGACAGTGGACACACTTATATTGTTCATGAATTAAGAAGAAATTCTTTTAGTTTTTTCTCCATTTAGTACTCTATTGACCTTGGGATTGCCATCAATGGCCTTTATGTGGTTGATATATGCTCCTTCAATTAATAATGAGATTCTAAGCAAGTTAATGATATTCTGTCTCAAAATAAAATATAAAAAGTGCTGGGAATGTAGCTCAGTGATTTTTCCCCTCTCATTTTGTTCGATAGTATCAAGGAAATTAATAACAATGAAATTATATTAAGAAAACCTATGTCCACCCAAAGCAGTGAGAAATAATACTCGCCAAATAAACCCAGCCATACATTTAAAGGTTAACTCCTCCTGAAAAAGTGATTTACCCAAGAGATATAAGATGATGTAGTTCTCTGATAATCAATTTCATTAAGCCCTTTATCAGAGAGAAGATAAAGTTCCTGGTAGGGGTTGAGTTGTGTTCCCTCTCTGACAATTCCTGTACTAAAATCTGTCCCACAGGACCAAGGTCTCCAGTGGTAATTAAGTTAAAATGAGGTGTTCGGTGGTTGGAACACTTCATTTGGATCATGTCCATGTCAAAAGAGGAAATGTGAACTTCCAAGTATCACCATGGACCCTGGAGAAGCGAGAGTATACCAAGTGATCCCAGGACAAGATGGCGGCCATCTGCCAAATCAGGTGGGAGTCTCAGGAGTTCCCAGGCCTGCCCACTCATTGCAAGGACCACAGTAGGTGCTTTTCCACTATCTGTGATCCATGGTAATAACATTGACTCTCACCATTACGTTTTCATGTCATTTACAGCACTAGTCGATGCCTACATGAAGTTCACTATGCTTCTTTTTGATAATGGAGAGTTTGATATTAGAATTCTCATGTCCTTCAATCCCTTCCTCATCATCTATGGTGAGGAATGTAAGGGGTGAGTAAGTGGCCAGGGCTGCCAAGGCAAATCTCCATGCTGCTATATCACAGGGCAGAATTTATCTCCCCAGAGACGTGAGGGCTGGCGTCTGTGTACTAATAATCTTCACTTCTGGG